AGTGATCCATATGGTCCCTTCTAGATCCACAGTTTAAAAATTATTATAATATTATTAACTTAGTTATACACTCATAAATTAACTAGTTAGTGGTAACTGTGTTATGTATAACTAGTTTCTCCTGAGCTCTAGGCTACAACTGTATCCCACCAATACCCCACCAAAATTTGTGACTTTAAAAAGGGCCCTTTGAACTCTTGGGGGACACAGGGGGCAGTTTTGCCACTTTATCCCCAATTCTGAGGGAAAATCCAGAGGGCCTTAAATATTTTTTCCGAAGTAACTGGAAAGTGGTGTTGAGGAGCTACACTGAGAGCCAAGGGGTAGTACAAAGATCATAGGCCACACTTTGTCTATCACTTATGTGCCGTGTTTCCCTGAAAATAAGACAGGGTCTTATATTTAATTTTTTTGCTCCAAAAACGCATTAGGGCTTATTTTCAGGGGATGTTTTTTTTTCATGTACAACAATCTACATTTACTCAAATACAATCATGTCATCTTCTTCTGGTTGCTGCACAGTGGTGGAGGGCAGGGTTTCCCTTAACTGGGGCTTATTTTGGGGTTAGGGCTTATATTACAAATAGAGATGGGGGTATTCATAAACAAATATAAATATGAATATCCCTGCACAGGTGGCATTAACGAGCGTCCAGCCCCATGGGGCCGGACAGTCCACTCACCGATCGGACGTGGGTGGTGCAATTCTACCAATGGCACCGCAGCGAGCGATCCGCTCACCACTCTTTGGCCTTGCAGTGAGGCTTGTCCTCCCTCCGCCTGCCAAGAGTAGCAAGCGGATTGCGTGCTGCAGAGCCATTCGTAGAATCGTGCTGTCCATGTCCAATCGATGAGTGGACCGTCCGTATACGAATACCCCTATCTCTAATCTTACTAGGGCTTATTTTCAGGTTAGGTCTTATTTTGGGGAAAACAGGGTAAGTGATAATGCAAACTCTTGGATTGTTGCTGGTTACTACTACCATCCTGAAGAAGACTGGCTGAAATCCTATTGCACAGTTATGTGAATGGCATAACTTTTGGAAGGGAATTGGTGAAAGTTAAGAAATGTTGATAAAGCTTATCTGTTGCCTGTCAAGTGATTTGGCTCAGTAGGCAACAGATGTTTATGGAGATTTCTTAACTTATGGCAATTCACACTCCCAAAGTTATGGCATCCACATAACTGTGCAACAGGATTCCAGTCACTGAATCACAAGTAGAGATAACAGAAAGTCACCTAGTCCAAACAAGAAGCATCTACACATTAGTAAATCCTTGGTGGTCTCTTCTTGCCACATAAGGGTGAGACTGAGGAACTATGAGGCAATTCTTGCCCAATTATAGGGAATGGTATGTTGCAGAGTTCTCCATGAGAAAAGAGAACACGAGCTATTAAGCCAATTAAATACAACTGCACAAATAAACACTTCAAAATAAGTAGAAAAAAAATTGTCCTAGTTTATGGTGGTTCCTAACCTGAGGCATAGACAAGCATCATAGGGGTTACTTGCATCTTTTAAAAAATCAACCATTCCTCCTGTGCTTTCCACACATGCACTTTGCTTCCCAAAGGGAAGCCTCTGATATCAAGCCAGGAGGCCCTTCTGAAGGTGCCATCCCTGAAAGTGGTGAGGGGGATGGCATGTCGAAATAGGGCCTTCTCGGCTGTTGCCCCCCAACTTTGGAACGCCCTCCCTATAGAGATCCGCCTGGCTCCAATACTTTTGGCTTTTCGGCGCCAGGCAAAGACCTTTCTGTTTAGCCAGCATTTTAATTAAATAGTATTCTTTAGCTGGCCATATGAGCAACAGGATTTATTACTATTAATGTTTTAATGATTGCTTTTAATATAGAATATTATTATAATATTGCCTAGTTTAATGTTTTTAAAGTTTTAATATTGTTGTACGCCACTCAGAGACCACTGGTAATGGCACGGCTAAAAATGTTGTAAAATAAAAATAAAATAAATAGTTTTATGCAAAAACAATTTCTACAAATTACAGAAACAGTGACAGGGAAAAAAATGCACTCTCTGTGTTGCTCTCACCTAAGGCTGAGGAATCTTGCACACACTGAAAATTCTACACCCAATTGTCCCGGAAAGTTGAGAAATGCTTAGCTGACAAAATGAACAGTTTAATGAGTGTTCTTCACATCCCTACCCAATTCCAGCTTTATGTACAACCCAATCAGCAAGATGCCACATTCAGAAAATATGCAACAATGCAACAGTCATTATGCTAGAGGGGAATTAAGGTCATTCTCTAAACAGACTAGCTCTAGACTGGAATTCCTTCTCGGACTCAGATAATGGCAATCAGTCACAGAATATCTCATACTAGATTGAGGTACGCATGCGGACGTGTTGCGAGTTTTCTTTACCACTTGGCATATTGTCTGTAGTTTGAATGATTGGGAGGGACTTTCCTGGGCTAGGATGATTGCCTATCTGTCTAGCACTAACATATTTCCCCCCTCCAGCCTTAGATTTCAAAGAGAGCCCTGCCTCTCTTTTTCGTATTCCGTCCCTTTCTTTCATCGGTTGGTGGCAGTTGTTTGTTGCTATTGATCTATTCAGTTGCTAGCATGTGTGCAGTAAAGAAAGTCTGTAATTTCAAGCAACATTTTACATTTTTTCTCTCTCCTACAAATGTCTAAGAGTGTGTTATTGAGGCTTTAGTGCCAGCTAATGAGAAAGGGGTGGACTCTGGGGTACAGTACTTGTAGCTATTCTCCTCTGTGGATCTCTGTGTTTCTACCGTGTAACAAAAAGAGAGTTCTACCAGCAATGCAAAACTATACACATAGTATATTATTTCTGGGAGTTGTTATATCAGTGGGAATTGTTAGTAATGGCTAACTTGTCCCATTGTTTTCATTAGATTTACTCTAAGCAGAACTAACTCTAGATGAAGTCTGCTATGTTATCTACAGGGCTTTTAAATTCTAAAATTCAAGCATTGTGAAGTTTGTTTCCATATTCAAGATCCAAAATTCAAGATTCAAATTCCTCTACTTTTTTCAAAACAAAAGAGGAATAACAATAAAGGATAAAAGTCAAAAAAAGAGGCTCTTTCAATCCCACTAGTATTGTCACACTTGCTGTTCTATACCAAGTTATAGTGAACCTAATAGGGCTTTCAAAGTAACTGAGATATTTAAGGAATGGTTTTACCAGTTCCACCATCACCGCCCCAGTAACTTTCCATGACTGAGTGGGAAATAGAACCCAGATCTCCTGGGTCCTAGTCCATCACTTTATACAATACACCACACTGGGTACTTATTTGTCACACTACCACTGCCACAAATGTCAATCAACAGCAGTGATGTGTTTGTATTTTTTCAGGTGTATCAATCTTTTGCTATCAACACCACCTTCATAACAAATGGCCTACATGCATTTTTTAAATAATTAGTCAACTAATGTTGCATGAATAAAAGCCTTAATAATTCAGCAAGATGTAAACAGTACAAAATTCAGCAAGATGTAAACAGTACAAAACAAGTGGATTCCCAGGATGTGTTTAATAAATTAAAAAGGGTTGTCAGTGTATGTGGGAAAGAAGAGAGGAAGGCTTTGTGTAAGAATGTGTTAGAAAAATCATGTATTTTAAATTATATAAATTCTGGGGTGCATCCAGCAGTGGCTCTGTGCGAAGTGAATATCTCAGCATATTTCCAAGAATAATTCCAAGATAGCTAAAAGTGTGTCCTTTCGTGCAAGGTGGGAGACCAATTCCACCTCTCCAATCCGTTAAATATGTCCTCTGTTGTGTACTATCTTGCACTATTCCAGAGGCTCCTCCAACACCCAGAAACTGCCTTTGGGGGAGCACTAGGGACTGTTCCGCATGGCTCACCAAAAAAAAACACAGGTGCTCCACCTTGCCTGAACGGCAGTACTTTCTGCACAGCAAAGGAAAGTACCACTAGATCCATCCATTTTTAGAAAGTTTGGCAGTTAGCTGTTCTTAACATTCATTGACCTGACGTGATTATCGTAATGAGCAACACTGTGCAACTTCACTTTTGTTGTGGTGGTTAGGAAACAAGATTATTCCAGGCTCAGTAAGACGGGCTCATGACTCTTGCTGGCTTCTGCCCCCAGGCAGGTTTGATAAGTATTATATCTATCTCCTTCTTTCTGATTTGTCAAGTGAAGCTACAGCCAAGATTGCAAAATTCTGTGCAGTTGCATGTACACTAAGAAAGCAACTAGTAAGTCATTCCATCAGTCTTATTGGGAACATGCCATGGAATGTGGCAGTGGAGTTTTAAGACTGTCCTGAGTATAATATTCTTCACTTAAGATTATTAGGACTGTTGTTACTTGTTTCATTTCTACTGTGTTGCTTTTAAATGGATGGATGACCTATGGTCATAATAAATGAATCTGTTCTGTCCCAGCTTCTGCAAAATGTACTTTAATCACTGGATCCAATTAGATATGAAATAGATAATAGTTGTTTTTTAATGAAGTGTTATTAATCATCCTGTTTGAAAACAGAGGGATGTTGGAATTTGCATTTTTTCCTGCTATGTGGCTGTTCAGAAATTAAATATATACGTGCATACACATTCCTCCTTTAAAGTTAAATCAAATTCTATACCTGAAGTCCAACAAAATGGATATAGAAGCCTATCAGCTGCACCCCTTTTCGGTTGGAGAATGCTGTAAATTCCTTTTGCCCTGGATGAGTTCTGCATTTTCAATGAGGTTAACTTGGCAACATTCTAGTTGATTTTAATAAAAATAGCTGCTTTGAGGACAAGGAGCTGCGGCTGCCAAATTTAGAGGCTGCCTTGCACAATTACTCTTACACCTCCTTCAGGTCTACTTAGAACCAGTAAGCAAATTAACTATATTGATTACAATTTTGTCGCTCTAATCTCTGTTCCCCCCCTTATCCACCCACCCCAACTGCATCGGAAGGAATAAACTTGATTCTGTATAGCATGTGTCTGATCAGGGCGATCTCTTTTCTTTTCAGCCACAACACAAAGACAACATCATGGCTGGATCCACGACTTGCAAAAAAGGCTAAACCTCCCGAAGAGTGCAAAGAAAATGGTAGGCGATTAAGTTTTCATTGCTGCTGCTAAAGAGAGCATAAAAAGAGTTCGCTTTGTCTGTGGATTGTTATAAAGAGAAAATGTTCGGAGAATGAAGGGAAAGGGTGTCTAATTACGGCTGTAGTTACGTGTCTTAGCTCCTGACATGTTATGCATTTCTTCTCTCGTGTGTGTCATATCTGCTCTCATGGTGATATCGAAAGCTGAGAAGAACAAGTGTGTGTTCAGGCTGGAGGGTGGCTTGTTTGTAGCAAATTTGACTCTTAGGCTGCCCTTTCCCCGTCTTGTTTGGCAGAGTGTGCTGAGATTCTAAGCTTTTCAATCTTTGCTAACACGCATTGCCCACGGCAATTATTACAGAGCTGGAGTATGAATATGATGATGTGATTTCTTTTGTAAAGGGGCAATTCCATGCCAGTTAAGCAGTAGCCAGTTTAGATTAAACCAGTATCTGGAGGTGGGGAAGGGGAGAGGCAATGCGGGAGGAAGGAGCTATCAGAAAGGTTGTTGTCTCGGTAAAAGGACATTTGTATCCTTTTGAACTCCTGTATAACAGTGAACATCCATGTAATCCTTATCCTTTTTCTGCCTACAGTATGCAATTAGTGCATTTGCTAGTACTACTGCTATTATCATATAAATTATATAGATCTGCACGCCATGGTGATCAGACAATTTTTTTTCTGAGAAATATAAAATGCAAATGAGGCTGGTCAAGCCATTTTAATGGCTATAAAGGGCTGTTGAGGCATTCTTCGGATATCTTCTGTGGTTCTGTTTAGGATATAGTGATACTCTTTTTACAGAGCAGTCTTTCTTTTACTACAAAGTAAGTGGGCTGACTAAAGAATTCTTAAAACTAAAGAATCATTAATCTTGCAGTCTGAGTGTAAACTGCCCACTACCACATACCAGGTCCATAGTGGTACATTCTCTGGGCTCGGGGAAAAAAATCCAAGATGATAATACATTTTTCATTGAAGTACCTTAGGGAAGAACACAGCTGTATTCAAATTCTAGTGTATTTTTCTCTACTTCTGCTTGTTCCTGTTGTTACTTGTGCTGCCTCCAGTAGCTTTAATTAACACTTACATCCTGTCTTTTGATGGCAACCTGTTAGATGTTTGAAAGCATCCCATGATTCACACAGGCATTTATATTTCCCTGAGAGTGAATTTACACAAAGGTTTTTTGTAAGAAAAGTCATAATGAGAAGGCAGATTGATATCATCATCATCATCTTAGAACTGCATTGCTGGAAGGGACCCTATAATTGTGTCCAGCCCCTGTCAAGGAGGCATAGTGGGGAACTGAATCTCATCCTCTGGGTCCCCAGCCAGATACCTAAACCACTTGTTGTTGTAAGCCATATTGTAGGACAAAAAATTGATTTAGTCCATCGTGTTAGAAGAATATATTAAAGTAGATTCATGTTAACTTAAATTTTACCCTTCAAAATTTGTTCCTTCAGCTTTTCATCAAAAGTCAAACACATTTTTTGGGGGGAGGTGTCTCTTTTGGGTCCCTTCCAATGCTTCTTGAAACATAATTGAAAGCATGCTATTTGTATTGAGAATGGCTCTCCTGCCCAGGCTTCAGCTATGGGAAGTAGCCTTACCCTGTCTAACACATTTTGATCTATAATGGACAGCATGGCTATGCTGGCTGTTGGATTATGGGAATCCAGTGCTCTGGTGTATTAGCCAGGAAGATACAGAATGTAGAAGGCTATTGACATATCCACCAACATCTTGCAGTCAATGTTTCTTATCAGATACAAATACTTAACTTTTTCTATAGCTTTGTCACTTACTGAGGTATTGTGATATATTGTGTTGGGTCCATCCCGCCCCATCCTGACAAAATTCTTCTTAAATGTAGCAGGTCACATTGTATTTGTATATGCTTTTTTTTTCCTTTACTTTCAAAAAACCTCAAAGGTCCTCATACACTAGAAGTGCCGACACATCCACTGTTTAGTAGGCAATTCTCATCAATAACAATTAATACATTTATCTAAGTTTTTTTTAAAAAAAACACCCTCTACCTTCTAAAGAAACAACTAAACAAGGAGACTAATCTGGCACCTTAGAGATTAAACTTTCTTGGACTCTTCCAGACAGAGCATTCCTTCTTATCAATGCAGCTAGTTCTGCACTCATCTTTTCTCAGTATCCATTGTTGTTGTTGTTTAGCCGTTACGTTATGTCTGACTCTTCGTGACCCCATGGACCAGAGCACGCCAGGCCCTCCTGTCTTTCACTGCCTCCTGGAATTTGGTCAAATTCATGTTGGTAGCTTTGGTGACATTGTCCAACCATCTCATCCTCTGTCGTCCCCTTCTCCTCTTGCCTTCTCACTTCCCCAATATCAGGGTCTTTTCCAGGGAGTCTTCTCTTCTCATGAGATGGCCAAAGTATTGGAGTCTCAGCTTCAGGATCTGTCCTTCCAGTGAGCACTCGGGGTTGATTTCTTTCAAAATGGATAGGTTTGATCTCCTTGCAGTCCAGGGGACTCTTAAGAGTCTCCTCCAGCACCACAATTCCAAAGTATCAATTATTTGGCAGTCAGCTTTATTTATGGTCCACCTCTTGCTTCCATACATCACTACTGGAAAAACCATAGCTTTGACGATGCAGACCTTTGTTGGCAAGGTAATGTCTCTACTTTTTTAGATGCTGTCTAGGTTTATCACTATCCATACAGCATTCTTATTTACTTATTGTTACATTTTACTTGACTTTCTATACTTTTCTGTCCCTTCAGAAAACATGGTTCCCTTTTAGTATAGTTTTTTTTTCGTGACTTGGGGTTTAGCACTATGATGTTTCTGATTTGAGGTTCATGTTTAGCAAAAACCTCCCAGTTTGCACTACCAACTAATTGAACAAAAAGCTGAAGAAAAATTACTTTGGCAGAGAGAAAATATTCTGAATTAATGTTTAACAATTTCATAAAACATTTTCTAAAATGAAGCTGTTGTCTTCAGAACTGGATTTATCACAAATATAATGTACATGCAGGATGAAAGCGTAAAACAGGATAGGTCCTTTGGTGTGCCCTAGTTATTAAGTTAAACTTTTTTTGGCTTTGAGCCAGGAGCCTCAGTCTGTGGACAGAAGGGTTCCACTGGTGGAAAGTGCCTTTTCCCAGTTCTGGGGAATTCGCGTCTTTCCCCAGCCCTCTGTGTAGCAAGGAAACTCAAGAGGCTACATGGGGCAAGAGGGGGCAGATGCTATGCAATAAATTGTACATTTATTTACATTGCTCCCCCTGAGCCCTTTATCATCATGAGAGCTCTGTTAGGTAGGCTGATGAGCCCCAAAGTCCTCTGATGAATTTCGTGGCTGAACAGAGATTTTCGCATAAATGTCACTCATTGACTCTAAAATATAGACCTATTCAAACATTCTGTATCTCCATATAAGTCAGAACCTAGGAACAGATGGTAATGTGTTAACATTAAATTCTTCTTTTTGTTCTTTTGCTCCTACAATGATGTTGTGTTGCTTGTAAACCAGCCTCCAAGGGTTTTTCTTTTAGTGTATGTCTTCTTCTCCTTCCTGCATATCTTTTCCAATTTATTTTATCTTGAATCATAAGATGTAACAATTCTCAGTTTTCATTATATGACTGAAGTATTCTAGCTTTCTGCATTTTATGTCTGTTGTGTAATGTAAGCAAAGTCATAAGTTTGGATCCGTTCCTCACCAGTAAACAAAGAACCCTAGTCGCAGCACTTGGAGGGTTATACAAGCATGCACGAAGCCAACACAAGGGGTATACAACACAAGGGGTATACAAACATGCACCCCTAGTCGCAGCACTTGGAGGGGTATACAAGCATGCACGAAGCCAACACAAGGGGTATACAACACAAGGGGTATACAAGCATGCACGAAGCCAACACAAGGGGTATACAACACAAGGGGTATACAAGCATGCACGAAGCCAACACAAGGGGTATACAACACAAGGGGTATACAAGCATGCATGAAGCCAACACAAGCATGCACCCTTAAAAATTGTTTACGTATGAGGACAGACTGAAATTTATGATCTTCCTTAAAATATGCAACAGGATTTTGGTCTATGTATATAATAAATGTTTATTTATTATTCCCATTTCTATAACACCCTCTTCAGCATTCTCACTTTCTGGGTGGTTTACAACATAGGAGAGAACAGTTTTTTGGGTAGAAAATAGCCTTAAGCCTGAAGGTACTTAACACTCATGCTTCCATTTGTATCAATGTGCTCTCAAGAACAAGACTGTAAACATGTCAGAAAATTAGCAATGTTTAAATAGAAGTAGCTGGGATAGAACTAAAGCACTCTGCACCTGAGATTAGATTTTCAAAACATTTTCTGAGCTCACAAAATAAACCTGGCTACAAGACAGCAACAATTTAGCCTCCACCTTACCATGTGTAATTAGTTCCCAATAACCACAGCTTAATTAACCATCACTTCTACTTCCTGTGCCATCCTGTTCATTCAAAGTAACTTATTTAGCACTTGGTTCTCAAATGGAAACAATTACAGTAGCCATTTTTACACATTCATGGAGCCAGTGTGACTGACTTCTCATAGATGCGTTTAAAAAGTTACACCACGGAACTTAAAAACAGATTAATTATTTCAGCTTTTATGTGACCATTTAGAACATAGGAGGTACAAGTTCATTTCTGCTATATTTTCACCTGTCTGCTACCTGACATTATGATTTTACTGGTACTGCATATATCTTAGTACTTTTTATATTTTGTATTACAGATGTTTTATATTTGGTATTAGTGATATCCAAATCTTTCATATATTTGCAAAAACATTAATGGAAAGCAGTTCTTCAAGGCTGGAATTATATGAATTTTCATATGACCTGGCGCTATATATCTGTAACACATTTAGGCACTGTATATGTGCATATGTTCAGGCTAAACACATGGCGTACTTTCACCGCTTCTGTTGCCATTTCTGTTGTCTTGAATGGAAGGA